AGCATAGTCTTTGTCCTTATGCTCCTTGACGAATTTCAGCCTGGCATCTCGATGTCGTTTCATTAGGAGTGGGGTCTTTCTTGGGGTGCGTGATTTTAATTCGTTTCTGTGAAGTTCATTGCTTATCGTTCGTTTGGTTACTTGAATTCCTGAGGCACTCAGGTGACTTTGCAACTCTCCTCGAGTAATCTGTGGATTTTTCGTCCCAATAATCTAGCAGATCGTGCAGAAATCTTCCTAGTCAAAAGTTGTTTTGTACGAATACTTTTTTCACCCGAAAAGTGAACATGTTGCATTGTTTTTTTTTTGTTGCATTGAGATTTAATTTCTTTTGATAGTATTTTTGAATACTATGCGTCTCTATACATAATTTAAATCACTTTTCCTGTTAAGTTTGTGTACTTACATACATTAAAATACGATTTTTCAAGTGTACGAATATTTATTTTCCCCCACTGTATATTCTGTTGATTCTCACCATTTCCGACCTGTGGAAATGCATAGGATTACTGGCATACATCCCCCGCTCGATTGTAATTTTGTGGAAGAGCTTAGCTTGTCTATAATATTGAACCTATTTTGTGTATTTAGTGGATATTCCAGGTGGACGTGGGCTCCAGATTAACCTTCTACCTCGAGGTTCAGAGCACTTCGTGTTAAGTTCCTTGGAATTTCCACTGTAACGGAAAACTTGAAACGTATAAACTTCACTTGAGGAGGAACCCTAGTTCGTGTTATCTGGGAGTTCTCGCTTGTTGCGAATTGACGATCGGGACCTATACTTTCAAAAAAGTTAAGAGATCGTAAGTTCATCAGCCAATAATTGACGGCCTTTCAAGCAGAATCCACCAATCATAGACAAGGGAATAGAGGAGCTGAGGTGGTGCAGTGGTGAGAGGCTCTGTCTCTCGCACCCAGCGCCCGGGTTCTCTGTCTCTCGCACCCAGCGCCCGGGTTCTAGTCTCACTGAGGAGAAGTTTTACCGGGAAGCTCAGCTCATGGTCAACTCAGCCATTCATCCAACTCTGGTTGATAAATGAGTACCTGGCTCGTCCAGGGTGTTGTGTAATGCAACTCTATAGGGACTAATGGTACTCTAGGCTAGCAAGGGTTGAGCTTATTTGAAGTTCTCAATAAAGACATGTAGCTCTAATTATTGAGAAGTTTCTCCCTATCACTATCGCGTCCAAAATATTGACGGGTAGCATATATATGTTGGACGCTTATATTATCAGTCTGCTTATATCGCAAGTTCACAAGGATTTTAAAAGCAAAGAAAATTCACCATATCGATATTGAAAACGTTTCACTTTCAATATCGATATTCGTTCAACTTTGTTCCAATCCAGATGGAACAAATTGGAGTTGTTACAACCTAGTCCTGTTTATTTCGATATAATGTTATGTCTTGTTTAGGTTTATGTGTCTTTGAATTTTGACTTATAAAATGATTTTATTCATTTTTAATTTAATCAAACTGATGATGGAGCTGGACTCAGAAACGTTTTCAATATCGATATGGTGAATTTTCTTGGCGTTTTCTTTGCTTTTAAATTCATAGTGAACTTGCGACATAAGCAGACTGATAATATAAGCTTCCAACATATATATGCTACCCGTCAATATTTTGGACGCTGACCTATAACAGAAAAAAAAAACGAAAAACTGACCTATAATCCCCCTCCTCCTAGTCGNAGCAACAGCAACAACAGCAGCAACAACAATAACATCAGTAACAGCCGCAACAATAACAGCAGCAACAACAATAACAGCAGCAACAACAACAGCAGCAACAACCGTTCATTGTTCGTGGGACGTAGACAGCTTCGTCTCAGTCACTGCACCGATTTTTGCCCCTTATCTTGCGTTGCTTTCCTTAATTTTAGCTGATGCTAATGTTTTCTCTTTATGTCCACTTCAATCTGCATGATCGAGCGTCGTGCCAACTCGCTAAATCTTCAGACGGCGTTTAGTTTTTGGCTGTACGGCCTTAGATTATGGGAGGATTTCTTAAGCGCATAATTCAGGGAAAATCTTAAACTTGAAACAAATTCTGTATTATATTCCATAAACAATTTAAATATTGTACACAGGTAACATCGTTCAAAGAACTAGTGGGAGAAGTGAAATTGTACCAATTGCTCATTCCATTTGCATACAAATGTTATATTACTTCAGCTTACATATGAGTACCGATACATAAGTTACTCACGTGATCTGCAGTTGTTTAACTTCTGCCGTTAATTTGTGCGTGAATCTACTTTTGCCATTTAAATTACATTGTTTGTTTTACTATCTCAATTTCCTAATTAGATCGATATTCAACAAGAACAGAAAGTAGGAAATCAGGAAGTTTTTCAAATAATTTATCTATCGAGGACCAAATTGGGGGCACAATGTAGCAGTTCTTCGTGAACTCGCACAGCGAGCGTCGCCTTGTCAGTGAGTCGCTTGCGGATTTCGACACCGAGCCTGTGAAGTAAACGGATGGGGCTATCTCCTCCGGCATATCAGCAGCAAGGAAAGCGTTGTAAGCCAGAGCTGGGCAGCACTACTTTGAAATGTAGCGGCCGCTACCGCTACATGCTCTAAATGTAGCGGCCGCTACCGCTACATGCTCTAAATGTAGAGGGCGCTACCGCTACTGAAAATGTAGCGGCCGCTACATGTAGCGCGCTACTGCCAACCTCTGGTTGTAACGTAAGTACATTCTCAATCCTAACAGTCCAAATGAGGTATTACTTTAGATTAAGTGCATCCAAAAAAAGGGTGTTTTTTTAATTATATGTTTTTTGGGGTGTAGATTAAGAATCTGAAATCCGTTTTTGGCGGTACCGATTTTTTCCGTTTTTTATATACTTTCTATAGAAAACGACAATGGGGGACCCGTGGGGAACCGGGGGTTTTAGGGAGTGGGGCAAAATCGGCAAAATCGGCGAAAAATTGGAAAAAATCTGAATTTTTTGACTGGAAGTGATCTATATCGATCTGGGAATGAACCTATGTAAAATAAACCTATGTAAAACCTAACCTATAAACCTATGTAAAACCCAAAAATCGCGCTAGGTTAGGTTAGGTTAGGTTACGTATATATTAATATATATAGTACACTTATATTAATATATAGCACATTGATGTTTGCCTGCATATACATAATATATTAATATGTATAGTACACTTATATTATTATATAGGACATTGATAATATATCAATATAGAGGACATTACTATACATTATTAAATAGTTCCTTGATGTTTGGTACAATAATGCATGTTACATCACTATATAATCTATATATTATAGTATATAATATAGTTATATCACCAAAATCATCATCACTCACCCGCGGCGCTGTCACCGTTGGCGTCTCTGTAGCCCGCCGAGAAATTAACTTCCTTGTACTGAAATATAAAATAAATACAATTATTGCCCTCATTATTTGTTTCATTAATGGTTTTATTAATGCTCTCATCAATTGTATCATTAATGGTCTCATTAACGTCTCATTAGCCGCTAAACTGACCCGTGAACACATTAACCTCTTGGTTACGTTGCTATATAGTCTATTTAGCGTCAATTAATATGATTAAATTCTGTACTTGCAGTCGTCGCCGTTCTGGCACTGCCAGAACCAGCCATACTTGCTGTTCTCCACGGCCTCCAGGAAATATTTGCAGATCTGAAATGCATAAAAGATATGAAATAACTTTGCTTCTTTATATATGAATAACTATGTATAAAAGATATCAAGTAACATTACTTTTCCATGTAAGCATAACTATAATCCTCATAATACCTAGATGCTCTCACATAATATTTGAAAACCAACTCATCACCAGAGCATATACCGTGGCAAGTTGTGAATAATATAATAAATAGTATTAAAAGATAATATGATAAATAAATAAATACTATATTCGCAAAGTTATAGTTAACAAAGTGGTCTTTTACTCAGTATTTGAACACAGAAATACTAATTAATTGGATAACAAAACATAAGCATTCAATTTGATAGATACTTAACACGTTGACTACGAAGTGGTACTACATATGCGTACAACGAAATGTATTTCTCCAGGACGTAGTGGTACATAATTCAGGTTGCCCAAAATCGGCCAAATCCGAGAACAAAAAAGGCCAAAAGAGGCCGATAATTCAATGTATACCAGTTTATTTGTAGGTTCCGCTATAAAAATTCCATTTATTTTCTTTTTGCAGTATTTAAAATTTAATTAGGAAGTACCCCTATCATAAATTGTAGCCAGCCAACGCAATTGAGAAAAATTAAATCACGGAATTTGTCCGGAAAAAATGACCGTCTGGCAACCCTGTTTAAAAACAGTACAAAAAATGAAATAGTAGTACAAGATGAAGCAATCAAAGTCAATGTGTGAACCATAGATATGGGTGCATATCTGTCTCCCAAGGGCCTAAGGCTCCTGAAGGCCTACAAACGATTTCTCTCAAGGACCTAAGGCTCCTGAAGGCCTACAAACGATTTCTCTCAAGGACCTAAGGCTCCTGAAGGCCTACAGACGATATCTCCCAAGGACCTAAGGCTCCTGAAGGCCTACAGACGATATCTCCCAAGGACCTAAGGTCATCTTATACTCTTAATTTAATGAGCGTCTGCTGCCCTGAAATAACAATATAAATAATTTTCAGAAACTGACTAGCGAGGATTTTACAGACCAATTATGTGGAAATCGCGGCCATTACCACACCCCCTTCATCACACCCAATAACTTTCACTAATGATGGCTAAACCATCACCGAGCTTTGACCCTTATGAATGCATCCTAGATCAGCATGGGTGAGCTTTATGACCCCCAGCCCGACCCAAGGAGCCCTCCCTCCGACCCGACCCAAGGAGCCCTCCGACCCGACTCAAGGAGCCCTCCGCTCCCGACACTCAGGCAACAGTTTGTCGTTTCTGCCACTCACATCTGGGTATGTGCTTTATTACTTTATCACTCAACCGGCCACTCTGTCACTCTTGAGGTCACTCTTCTTCTTATCCATAGCCTTCTTCATGGCGGCGGCCCTCTCCACCACACTCCCCGCCACTCACCCTAACGTCCCTGCCACTCTTGAGGTCACTCTTCTTCTTATCCGTAGCCTTCTTCATGGCGGCGGCCCTCTCCTTGGCCTTCTTCTTGTACCAGGCGAGGAAGGTCTCCTCCGTCACCTTCGTCGTGTTCACCCCCAGCGCCGCGCGCTCCCGCTCCACCAGCTCCTCGATGCTCATCTCGTCGCCCTTCTCCGCCTTCTTGCGGTCCTGCGGGAGTAAGGGGGGTTAGAAGGGGGCTTGAGAGGGCAAAAGGGGCATTANACCTAAGGCTCCTGAAGGCCTACAGACGATATCTCCCAAGGACCTAAGGCTCCTGAAGGCCTACAGACGATATCTCCCAAGGACCTAAGGCTCCTGAAGGCCTACAGACGATATCTCCCAAGGACCTAAGGCTCCTGAAGGCCTACAGACGATATCTCCCAAGGACCTAAGGCTCCTGAAGGCCTACAGACGATATCTCCCAAGGACCTAAGGCTCCTGAAGGCCTACAGACGATATCTCCCAAGGACCTAAGGCTCCTGAAGGCCTACAGACGATATCTCCCAAGGACCTAAGGCTCCTGAAGGCCTACAGACGATATCTCCCAAGGACCTAAGGCTCCTGAAGGCCTACAGACGATATCTCCCAAGGACCTAAGGCTCCTGAAGGCCTACAGACGATATCTCCCAAGGACCTAAGGCTCCTGAAGGCCTACAGACGATATCTCCCAAGGACCTAAGGCTCCTGAAGGCCTACAGACGATATCTCCCAAGGACCTAAGGCTCCTGAAGGCCTACAGACGATATCTCCCAAGGACCTAAGGCTCCTGAAGGCCTACAGACGATATCTCCCAAGGACCTAAGGCTCCTGAAGGCCTACAGACGATATCTCCCAAGGACCTAAGGCTCCTGAAGGCCTACAGACGATATCTCCCAAGGACCTAAGGCTCCTGAAGGCCTACAGACGATATCTCCCAAGGACCTAAGGCTCCTGAAGGCCTACAGACGATATCTCCCAAGGACCTAAGGCTCCTGAAGGCCTACAGACGATATCTCCCAAGGACCTAAGGCTCCTGAAGGCCTACAGACGATATCTCCCAAGGACCTAAGGCTCCTGAAGGCTTACAGACGATATCTCCCAAGGACCTAAGGCTCCTGAAGGCCTACAGACGATATCTCCCAAGGACCTAGGTCTACTAAATGCCTACATAATACAAGTCTGGCAGGTCTACCTAGGTCTACATACTACAGCGGTCTGGCATGTCTGCCTAGGTCTACATACTATAGCAGTCTGGCAGGTCTGCCTAGGTCTACATACTATAGCGGTCTGGCAGGTCTGCCTAGGTCTACATACTACAGCGGTCTGGCAGGTGTCTAGGTCTACATACTACAGCGGTCTGGTTGGTCTGCCTAGGTCTACATACTACAGCAGTCTGGCAGGTCTGCCTAGGTCTACATACTATAGCGGATAGGTCATTAATAAAAGTAATTAATTATAACCTTCTTCTCGACGGCCAAGTCATGGGAGAACTTGCACTTGGCGCCCTTGGTGCAGGTGCCCTGCTTGAAGAACGCGCACACCACAGACTTCGGGTCAACTCCTGCAATGCAAAAGATTATAGTTATTTGATAAATATTACATAAACATTTAAATTATTCAATGATAAATACAATATTATCATTGAAGCTATTTTTTAGAGACCAGTGCCATCATCAGTTCAAAATTACTTGCCTTTTTTCTAGCAACCAATGCAACCAACTCTCAATAAATTAGGTTCCCCTAGGTTGCCCTGGATATAATTTTTATAAAACTATTGAAGGGGAGCGTCTGGTCAACTTTTTTGGATTTTGGCTTTTCTGGTTTTTAGTCTCATCTTAAAGCTGACATTCTGAGCTATCCAACGGTACCAAAACCATCTCTGTACGTAGATTTATGCGTTCATGACAGATTCCGCAAGGGAGGGAGGTGAGGGAGTTCTTTAACAAATTAGATACGAGAAATTAGCTGCAGTGCATATAAAAAGGGTGTATGCTAGAGCTGAGCTTCAGTAGCCCGACTGGCGTCGTACGGGGTGCTGTGCTAGCAGTTGCTCCCACCATCCTTGACTTAAATCAAGCTCCACTAACGCTTAGTTTCGTTTCCTTGCTGCATTGAGTGGCTATTTCGATGCGCGCTGGACTTTGTCGCGCTGTCCTAAAATTATTCACGGCAAGCATTCATTATTATTGTCACGGCAAGCCTATCTCCTCCTAGAGTTTTGAAGCTACAGTGATGGGAGATATACCATTCAATTCGCAATTAAAATATCTATCGATGCAACGTAGATTTTTCCGAATTTTGCTATAGTTTTGAAAATATTTTGAAAAAAGGGTGAGGGAAATAGGGAAAAATCAAAAATTTTTTGAAAATTTTGGGAAAAATGCTCCCACATTCACAAAAATTCAAAATTCAAAAAAAGCTACGTTGCATTGATAAATAATTTAACTGCGAATCGAATGGTATATGTCTCATCGCTGTAACTTCAAAACTCTAGGAGGATATAGATTTCTACAGTACCCCCTTCTTTGGCCGTTTTCTAAGAATTTCAAGTTTTCTTTCATTTTTTTCGAAAAATTGACACGAATAAAAGCTGTCTATTTTTTGGTTTTACATATGTGTACCGAGTTTCAAAGTGATCTGTCTGTAAATAGCCGAGATAAAATTTTGGCAATGAAGGAGCTTGTATCTGACAATGAACATATTGTGGAGTTCTAGGCATTTTTGGCTTTCAAATTCTAGTACAATATAAGAAAGACAGCCAATGATATCAATGAGCACCATATTAGTTACACCCATAATTCTATCAATAACTTAGCAGCAAAACAATTTCATGGAAATACATTGTGCAGTTGATTACAGTCAGAAAGAAGGAAGCAATATCACTAATAAACTGTGCCAGGCATGCAAGCAACTAACACAATACTTATAAAATAAATAAAATACAATAGTTGCACAAGGACCCAGGACTAAGAAATGAAGAAGCTGATACAATATTAATCAGAAGTCATTACAATTTGCCCACAAAAAAGATTGTTAGTAAACAAAGGTATGATCCAAAGCAAAGACACACCTTGTAATTCATTGCAAAATTCCTATAATCATCTCGGGATTCATCTATTCATCTCAACTGAATACATTCAATGAGTTCACCAACAACAAACCTTTGCCAAGCTGTTGGACGGGCTTCAAGATGGCGTTGAGTTGTTCAAGTTCAAGTTTTTTCTTTTCCTTTTCCTTCTTTGCATCTTCTTTTTCTTTCTCAAGCTGCTTCTGTGTTTTGTTTAGACCTGAGTTTTTGACCTGATGTTGTACTTGCTGGATGAACTTTTGCTGCTTGGATCCCTTCTTATTTTTCAGGCCAAATGTTTTGTCCTGCAAACATTAAAACCTGCATTAAATGCATTGAACATGAAATTTTTGAATTAGACTTTCATGGATTGAATAGATAAAAATTCAAATGTTTTGTCCTGCAAACATTAAAACCTGGATTAAATGGATTGAACATGAACTTTTTGAATTAGACTTTCATGGATTGAATAGATAAAAATTTAAGAATTTTATGATTGATGGATTAGAAGATTGGATTATTTATCTAGTTCAAAGTGATCAATATACTTGATCAAGATACAATTAGTAATCAAATTGTATATTATAAAACGATGTAGACTGCAATCTTTTGCTATGCAACTAAGATACGTACTAAAGAAAAGTTCACATACTAACTTACTAAACAGAAAAAACCAATGAGTTTCTCAATTACCAGTCAATTGGTAATCAGAGTAAAATTTATGCTTGGTTTGAAGCATATTTTCCATTTATCTTCAACAACTTCACAGTCAGAAATTTTTTTCATCAAATTTGGATTCCTTTTCTAGGCCTTGCCTATAATACATATGGTAAATCATCAATAAATTTTACAATATTCAACAATCTATGCAGAAAATGGATACCAATTAATATGGAACATGATTATTCAGAGAGTGAGTAACTATTTTAAGATGCTGTGATGCCACAGCAATTGGTAGCAACACAAAATATTCACAATATATTTCCCTTTAGGAAGGAATGCAAAGTATCCAAGATGCAAAAAAAAATCTTCCTGCCATGTTTTCCTGGTGCAAGATTTCTGTACCAGCATAGATAATCCTAGACAAATAATATTTCATATAATTGTTAACAGTGATACTAAATAAAAATAGGAGTTGTCTTGAAGATATTGAGACCTTAGGGGCTATAATATTTCAGTATAAAATCAAAATTGCAATTTGTTTGGCATATGTGTAAAGAAAATTGCATATATTTTCACACAACAAAAATATAGCAGACTTGCTGAAGTCACCTTAGTTGCATGGTAGGCCTTGTCTCTCTGTATAACTGATTGCTAAGTTTGTGTCACTTGTGTTTAAAAAATATAAATTATACCAAAACTATTTCTAAAAGTTTCAATTGATTATAACCTGGCCAGGTGAAATCAGTTGAAGTCTTGTCACAAATTGAGTGAAAAATCTGTGTATCATTGGCTCTCATCGATATATTTTTTAAAAAAGGTCATCATTTTTGGTGATGGCTTTGCAAATCTTTCTTCTTTTTTTTTTTTGCTTGTTGTTGTGTTGCTGTAGCTTCAAACCTGACCAAATACTATCAATTCAAAAATTTTATGTACGAAAGACTGCACCATGCTGCTTCAATCCATAGTATAGACTAAAATATGGTTATGGTGAATATATTTCCCACTCAAAGAATAGAAGTGAATACATTTTCATGCTTTTTTTTTCATACATAAGAATACATATTCATGAATTTGGGGGAGGTGTTCATATTTAGTACTAGAAACATTTTTTACACAAAAAAGAATAAATGAGGCAGTCATACATGAAATACTTCTAAGATTTCCTGTTATTTCTGGCACCACACAAGAGACGAGACTTTGGCTGGAATATATGAACATGCAATAACACAGGCATGGAATGGCAAGCCACAACTGAATTTTTGAGCCGTGGTTTTACGGATTTGCCAGCTGTGATTCCATTTCTTCGAGCCATGATTTATTTTCTTCAAGCCGTGAATTCCATACCTCAGCCATTGAAAGTCTTACAAGCTGGCAGCCGCAAACATTTTACCAAGTCCCATGCGCGTGTTACCCCTAATCTCTAATTTTACCCTAAAAACAGTCAATACTAACATCTGTCTTCACTCAAGTGGCAACTGATCACATGGAAATGCAGTCTGATTGCTCTGACGTGACTGCAACTGTGCAATCTTTAGAGAAACGTTTTAGATTGACTTGTTATTATGTTGTGCAGGATATTTTGGCAGGATCGTCAAAGTTTTGCAGATTGTGGAAGTAGAAAATTTTATGAACCAACATGTTTGCAGAGTGCAAACCATGATTTTTCAATCAAACAAAAATACATGACATTAGAGCCGCAAGATTTCATACTTACTGAAATCATATGATATTAGAGTTACAATATTCTAGTAAAAATAGGACTATTCCAGCCCTGCAATAATGACAGTGCATGTTCAGAATTAATTAAAAAAAAACAATATATTATTTCTGAGCAGACTGAGCTGCAAGATTTAGTAATAAGACAGAATTTTGCATTCATGATAGCAAGGAGATATTGGAATCATGGAATTGAAAAATTTGAATCCACTTTGTGGTCAAATTTCACAACAATCCAGAATCTAGAAAATGACTAGAATATAGGCCTGAATTAAAAAAATTGGTATTACTTTAGATTAAGTGCATCCAAAAAAAAAAGGTTACTTAGCCTCGGTGACCCATATATGTACTCTTGCAACCACGACATTGCAGGGCGCAGGCAACCACGACATTGCAAACACGGTTAGGTTAGGTTTTTCTGCCGATTTTTGCCAGATTTTTCTTGATGACTTAGAGCCTCGGGGAAAAAAATCGGTTTTCCGATGCCGACCGCCAAAAATGGATTTCAGATTCTTAATCTACACCCCAGTAACATATAATTTAAAAAAACACCCTTTTTTTTGGATGCACTTAATCTAAAGTTTTACCAAAAAATTTGTAGGTAAAAATTTTTTCAAGGCAGTTTTTCAAAATTGCAGGTATAATTCATTTCATAATAATGTCATTTTCTTCTTATTCCAAGTGATAGGAATTAGGCAAGGGCTATAAAATAAATCAGTAAAATAGACCTTAAAAATGACCATTTGCATCTTATTTACAGATGGCTCCAATTTGGAATATTAGGCAGAATTTTCCTAAAATCACAGGTGAAAACAATTCTTTCATACTAAGCAATTTTAAAAAATGAATGAAATATTCAATTTTTATACTTTTTCAATATATTAGAAAAAGGCCATTTGGCAATGGAACAGGTGAATTGGCCAGATTCACAGGCATTTTTGTCCAATTTCTGGGTTGTTTCTGCCCTTTTAAAGAATGGAATTGTCCATTGTGGCTAGTCAGATTTTGCTCAACCTCACCAGTTTTTGTCAAGTCTAACAAGTATACAAACAAGTATCTTGAATACCAGCATTAGCCTACCATCATTATGCATCATACTATGCAAGATGCATAACATATTCAACAAAATTTAGAAGCATTAAGAAATAAAATGATTGCTGAAAAACCCTGTTTGCCACTATGAATTGGTGCATAAACCAAATGAAAATGTAATTTATTTTTATTAGTAAATAAAATTATTTCAACACATCATAAGCATGAGAATAAAATCAGAAAATAAATAGAAGTACAGTGATGATCAGATCAGTTGGTCACCAATGAAAAATTTCATTATTTTCAACTTACTTCAACAATTTTCTCTTTCTTTTTTAATTCTGTTTTCTTGGACTCTTTGTTAGCTGGTTTACTTGAAGGTTTGGGTGGCATTGCAAATTTAATAATTAAAACCTATTTTATTAATATAATTTCGTTACGAACGGAATATATATTTTAACAGAAGATTAATTCTTGACACCCGACACTCGCGGGCTCCATCAGCTGAATGGTACCATAACAACTGAGTCACTGGTTCTCATCCAATTATCTATCTCTTTTTCCATTCACCTATAATATAATGAAATATGTGACTTACTCATTGTCATTGAACAATATTCCCATGTATTAGTAAACTATGCATTCATATGAAATTCTTCAAGTATTACAAGGTTATTATTGATATAGTCGTATCATCTCTCTGCGACACGTCTTGCTTAGGAACAAGCCTGCTAGTGAAGGCAAAATGACACCATGTTGAACAACACAGTTCTTTCTAAGCTAAAGACCAAGACAGAAGCCTACAATACACAGAATCATAGTGTTGCTGATTATAAACTGTACATATCAGCTCGAAATTAATGTTCAAAAAAGCTGTCGAACCGCAGTGAAAAACTTTATAAAATATAATGCAAAGAATGCGAAAAAGGACTCAAAAGCCCTCATTTCATACGCTAGTTTGACGTGTAAGACACACGTCATTATGTTAGATTCAAAAGCAGATAAACAAATGCATCATTTGATGAGAGGGAAGTGCTAGGTAGCCTACATTATTTCCACTGTCATGCGTACATGTGGGAGCTACGCTGTTGCTTCTTCGGGAGCAGACTTCTCGGTTCCCTGACATATAATCAATCTATATTTCATCATTGAGACATTTCATCACTATATTAATTTATCATTGCACATTCCACCACCACAACATTTCATCATTGCAGGCATCGTTGCCACTAAGAGCATAAGCACGTTCAGGAACAGCCTGATGAAGCTTTGCAGTCATAGTATATATTGATATATTGAGACTTGATTCCGCTTGGGCCTGGGAAAAGTCCGGTCTCTATTTATTTCAATATCAGTTTTAAAACAGCCAATTAATAGGCCAGTTTTTAGAACTAACGTGAACAATTCACGTAAGTTATATGAATTGGCGAAACACCAAACTTACCACATTATTCAGACTCCGACTCTACTATACTATAGGATTCACTCAAATTTAAAACAATCGTATTGGGTTGTCATATATTGAGGACTGATTCTCGCGAATTTCAGTCGTTGTCAACAATCGGATTTATTCCGATGTTCATGTCAGAAGAAATCAATGCGAGACCTACTCCTGTAAACTATGAAGAAACATAAACGAAGAAACAGGCCGCAAGGCCTTTTACACTGAACTTATCAAGTATAAAAGTTGGCCTCGCCCCAGTCCCACCGTTATTCTTTTTCTATGCAACCTTTATTGTTTGAACTTATTGTCGTTCAAATCAGCTCAGAAATAGGGAAGTTCAGCGAGCCATCACTACATGCACGCCAAAGTGTCTAAGAATTAGGAAAAAACCGTGAAAGACTGAAAAGTTGAACAAGAACTCCAAACTCTAGAACCTTTCACTAAAGGATAAACGTGCACGCTGGTTCATCTTCGTGGCAGCACAAGACGAACCTTCTAACAAACACCTACAGCTCCACTGCAACACTCTACACTCTAGGAAACTGTGGCAATAACTCCAACCTTACAACGTCCCGGCAACAACCCCAACCCTATAACGTCCCGGCAACAACCCCAACCCTATAACGTCCCGGCAACAACCCCAACCCTATAACGTCCCGTCAACAACCCCAACCCTATAACGCCCCGGCAACAACCCCAACCCTATAACGTTCCGGTAGTCCATCAAGTCTTTGCAAGGTTACAAGGAGACAAGGAAGTTTCGTACAAAGTATATTAGGAAAAATAGTTACATACATGGCGGTGCTCCAGCAGCCAAACAAACATGTCTGCACATGAGAAACAAACACAGCACACAACACACACGTGACTCGGTTAACTCATTTAATGTTAAATCAAATGGCGAAAGATAACGGTTGGCATCGCAGCCAATATACAACTTAATACAGAGATAAGGGGGCACTAGATTGACGAAGTGGTAAGACCTGTGACGTAAACATCCTGTTACCTGCGTGATGTCAACGTACAACGTAAACAACTTGCATGACGTCACCGTTATACGTGAACAACCCGCGTGAAGTCACCGTTTTACGTATATAGTTTGCGTGACATGACTGTACATTGTACGCAACATACGTGGCATCACCGTATTACGTATACAGCCCGCAGGTCACCTTGTTCCCACAACGTACAAGAGTCACACAACACATCTGCATAAAGCAGTCACCCCTCAAATTCGCCCGTTTTCTAATCGCCCAGGACATCGTTTTCTTTACTCTAACGAATGGGTAACCATTTCAACAAGCGTTTCGGCACATCGTCGTTGTTGACAATTCCTTTGACGATGACAGACGTCATCATCATTTATTTACACGGGTGGGAGAGGGGTAACTCAACAACGTTTTCCTGTAAAACGAGTCAACAAAGAAACGTTTTTATTTTAGTATCGACTAAGCCATCTTTCATCGAGTTGCCTTTTAGATTTTTCTTTTCCATAGAGGATTTTCCATCCCGATACAGCAGTCTTTCTTTGAATTTCAATCAATTATACTGAATTTTATACTGCAATTACTGGCAATAACGAGCTAATATTACCTCAACAGCCTTACACGCTTGGTACTACAGACGACATTCCGAATAATGCTTTCAAAACGTAAACAAAACACGTTGATTAAAATAAGGTTTGTTCTAATGGCGCAACCTAGGATGGCGTCCGCAAGTTACATGCATCGGTATTTTTCATGCTGCCCTCAAGTTGCTTAAATTGTCATATTAAAAACAAATAACATGAACCTAATATGTTCATGAAATATGAATGAGCAAGCCTTATTTACTACAACTGTGCATATTATTTCAAGAATGCATGATCCAAACGTACAATACAGCCCGTTTGGAGCCAAACGAATGATTCGAAAAACGTCGTTCCGTTGTCGTACTTTGACTGTTGTGAATTATCTACAAAGGCCACCATACCGTCCATGATCCTTAACCTAATCTGCATATTTACACTTTAAAATATACAAGTTACAGCATCAGCAATAACAACGATAATAAAGTTTTGTTTGTGTGTGAATCGCAAGTTAATACAAAATAAATCCTACATGGCAACTAATAACCAATTAAATGATTGACTTCCTAATATTTCCATCCGACTACCTTCTAGCCACTGACATTATAATAAACATTGTTTAATATTCCTAGTAGGCAACCTTCCAGCCAATAAGGTGGCACGGTTTACTGCATAATATTCAACTTGATTCCCATCTAGCCAATGAAATATAACGGTTCACATACAATATTTCCACTAGAAAATGTTTCAGCCTAGAAGAAAAGTAAATATTTTAATGAATATACTAAATAGGTCTATCAATGCAAGGAGCTAGCTCGGTCATTCCTAACTGGTAACTCTGGCCAATGATGAGCCAGCACGTTTATTCCTAGTTGGTAACTCTCTGGCCAATGATAAACTAGATAATTTATTCCTAGTTGAAACTCTTTGACCTAAGATAAACTAGGTCGGGTTTTCCTAGTTGGAAACTCTCTGGCCAATGATAAACTTGGTCAGTTATTCCTAGTTGGAAACTCTGACCAATGATAAACTATGTCAGTCATTCCTAGTTGGAAACTCTGAACAATGATAAACTATGTCAGTCATTCCTAGTTGGAAACTCTGGCCAATGATGAACTAGGTCGCTTATTCCTAATTGGAAACTCTCTGGCCAATGATAAACTAAGTCGATTATTCCTAGTTGGAACCTCTCTGGCCAATGACAGGAAAGTATTCGGACATGGTGAGAAGATAACCGCTTCCGTAGCATGGAGATGTCGCCTATGATTTAACACGTCAGATACGATAATGTGTAGACAAGTGTGATTATTTATCATGTTGTACAAGATAAGGTTATTATCTCATCTATTCTCAAATACGAACACAACTGTGAACAAATCGAGTGACGTCATCATGAGAAAGTGACGTCAGAAGCAACAGTAACGAAGAAAAACAGAAGCTTTACAGCAGTAAAATATCACAGACTCGACTTATTTCTTACACTCTACTACAAAGATCTCATGAGAATCGAGAGCCAATCAGAGGCATCCTTCCTTGCGGTTGACCAATCACGGAAGCCTTATCATGGCACCCAGTGAGTTATAAGAGTAAATATTTATATCCCATGGGCTATAAATTCTTCAATAAAGGGAGTGTTAACATTTGATTTGAAAGGCCATGGTGAAAATGCTATTGCTTAGAAGAAAGCATCATTCAGTAATGCCACGAAACCGAAGAATTTTAAGACACAGATTGAATATCAATGCAATCTTTACAGTTTACAGATGGCAGTGGAATTCATGTTATACATTATCAATTTTAATTGCAGCAATTGACCAATAGGAAGCACGCATGCCTGGTCAAATGCATTGCGATTGGCTGCCAAGAGATGCAGTGGCGCTGAGGCAGCCAATCATGGCATGGTGTGAGCAAAGCCACACTCGTCGCCATTTCTGCAGCCCCCCTTCAGGAAATGCCGGCAGGGGGTCTTGCTGGGGGGCCGCCCCCCACGACCCCACCCTCGACCCCGTGGTCCGCCCCCTCTTCTCCAGTTGAAACGCCCCCCATCGCCCCCTTCGTGATTCCAACCCCCTCCGGATGGGGGGCCGTAACCGGGGTGTGGCATAGGGCCCATGGGGCCAATAGGAGGCCCGTAGCCCACAGGGCCTCCCATCATGGGGCCACCGCCAACAGGGAACTGAAATACCAGAATGTATTTAGCAGATGAGCTAATATAAATAAAATTCCCCAAATTTAAAGCATTTTTTGAAATAAACTATCACAGAATATAGACAATATAGATATATAGGCATGATAATATAGATATAGAGATAAGCTTGCAGTAAATTTGCACATATATGCTCATTTTTCTTTATTCAAACTCTGCTGTATACCAAATATACTATATACTCGTTATGAGACTGTAATATTTCAGCCTCATTATGAGTGTATACACATGACGTACATCAAGTATATACACATGGTAGGTATACATCAAATACACAAGGCACACATCAAATATACATCAAATACACATGGCATACATCAAGTATACACATGGCATACATCAAGTACACATAAGGCAATATTCACCATGGGAGGCTCGCCCTTGGTCATGACGTGGGGCGGTGGGGCACCACCTACGCCGCTGCTGCTCCCCACCACCCAGTGCCCCCCACCGCCCCCAGCAGGGGCCCCCACAGCGCCCCCCATGGGCATGGCCCCAGTCATGGGGTCCGGTGGGCCCCCCATGGCCATGCCCTCAATTGGGGCCCCGTAGAAGTCAGGCCCGCCGTTGGGCCTGAACCCTGCGGGCATGGGGGGGCAACCCCCCCAGTGGGGGGGTTGTTGGGGGTGTCTGTAGAAGGGGTTGGGTGGAGGGTTGGGGACGGGGTCGGGCCAGGGGATGTGCTTGAGGTTCTTGACGTTGTCCTGCCCCGTGGTGTCCGTCAGGGGGAGGATCTTGGGGTCCGCGCGGGGGACTACCTCGGGGTCCGGCTCCTGGGGGGTGTCGGGGAGTCTGCGGGGGGTAGGGGTTAATTATATTAAGTAATTGATTATTAATCACTTATTAATTGGTGCTATAATATAAAATAATATACGATTGCAAAGATCGCAAATTTGGAAGAAATAAAAAAATACAGAAATTCACAAAATTTTTCTATAAGAATGTTCAGCTCGAAAATCCTATTGGCATGAATTAGAAAAGCTGAATAAGGAGGACGTGCAAGTAGATTTCTTCGAGTTTTCTTGGTGAATAATTTTAAGGTCGTCTCATTCTTCTGGTATTACGATAGTCTCCCTGACTTAATGCAATCGTCTTTAATTTACAAATATAGTTGTGCGCAGTGCGCACCAGCGTACGTCGCTATGACGTCACGGAATTTCACGCAAGGCGGAACATAAAGGAAGGAGTTTTCGAACAGGAAATCTACTTGCACATCCTACTCATTCAGTTTTTCCAATGTCCTTCTCCACCTGTTGGGGGGGAAGAAGGTGGGCATGGGGGTATTACACCCACCTGATGTCCTTCCCCACCTGTTGGGGGGGAGGAAGGTGGGCATGGGGGTATTAAATCCACCTGTTGGGGGGGGGGAAGAAGGAGGGCATGGGTGGTATTACACCCACCTGTTGTGGGGGAAAAGGGGGAGGATTATAGCACCCACCTGTTGTGGGGAGGGGAAGAATGGGGAGGGTTATTACACCCACCTGTTGGGGGGGAAGAAGGTGGGCATGGGGGTTATTACACCCACCTGTTGGGGGGGAAGAAGGTGGGCATGACGCTGTACTCGCGCTTGGCCTGGACGTGGCGCTCGAGGCTCTGGCAGCCGGGGACCACGCGGGGCCCCTCGGGGAGGTGGATGGGGAGGAGCTGCCAGGGGGCGTACTGCACGCACGTGTTGGCTGGGGGGATTAGTACAATTAGTAGAGGGGGATTAATACAATTAGGGGAGGGGGGTTAGTATAATATCGGGGGTGATATATTGATAGGTTTCTACGCCGGAACACGCGGCCTAAGACCCCAAAACACATCAATCCTTATAACCTTCACAAGATCCCTATCCTTCCCCAGGTAAAAATAACCCAGGTTTATTTTTGGCACTTCACCCAAAACCATGCTGATGCACCACCTTCGATGGCTATCAAGCGCTGAACACCAAAAAATAATCTCAGCTTCACGAGGCTCGAACCAACGACTAGAGCGATCACAAACAATGGCACTAACCACTGCGCTACAGTAGCATTCATGACCGTGTGGTCCACCCACAAGGCAACTGATGAACATATTTCAGTAACATGCCGCCCGTGCACCTAAGATATCGCATGTTCCTCACGTACCTCGGCCACGGTGCTTGTCCAGAGCGTCACGCTCGCCATGTTTCTCGAGCAGCAACATGTCCTGGAACTTCTGCGCGTTCACGTTCACTGCGAACATGAGAGAACATGAGTTTGTGGGTGAACATGAGGGGTTAGGTACAAGCACATGGCACCACATACAATCAAACGCCACCACACCTTACCACTTCACCCCCTAAACTCCCTCCTCACACCGGTCCGTCTGGTCCAGTCAGAAGTAGTAAATAACCTTCAGAAAAAAAAAAATAAATAAAAGTAACCGGTCTGCCTGGTCCAGTCCGAAGTAGTAAATAACCTCCAAATAAATAATAAACTCATGCCGCTGATCCTGGACGTGAATGTACGTTGGACCATCTCTAGTTTCCGCAGCGGCACCCGTCTTGAGGGGCGCCCAAAGCGAGCAGCAGTACTTTTGAGTGGGGAGCACGAGGGAACAGAAGAGTGTAATCATTATAATCAAGAGCTTTTTTGGTTCAAAACGTCCGCCAGGTCCTCCCCGTCCGTTGTCTGTTATCAAACGTGGCTTCAGTACTCATCAACGCTTTGAAATCGCGAACAAGTTGCTTCTCCCTAATTTCTGTGCCGTCCTATGCCAAGTAGAGGCGCAGCATCACGACCTCTGTGCCGACTCTGTACATCACTACTTCGAAATTTGTATCGTTGAAATGCACAATAGTCACTAAAACCCAGTTGTATATTATCGACAAGTTATTTTGTAACCTCTCTCAGGTCAGGTTGTCTGTGATCCTCATTAGCACGCTTGTACCGTCTGTAATTGACAATATTGATGCGTGGGTAAGTTAGTAGCCGATGTCGGCGATGTGGATCAGGAAGAGGATCGGTCCAAGCACCGAGACCTGTGGCACCTCGCTTTTCTCGATTTCGAGTTTCCAATTGCAACAGCTTGTACTCTATCTGTAAGGAAGCTGTGGATCCACCTCAACAGGCTTCGATCGTCCTACCCTAACAGCCTCAGCTTTCTGAATATCACACCACGGTCACAAGGCGGTTGTGATGCTCCAATAACTGTGACAAGCAGGAACGATTTCGTCGAAAACCATGTTGTCCACTTTAGTTAAGCCTTTCACCACACCCTGCATTCATCACACCCTCCACACCCCATGTACCCTTCAAAGCACCACACCTTATCAATCTCCTACCCTTACAAAATTTAGAGGCGGGCGCCATTCTGCATTAGGTGCCGCCTAGGCCTCGGAGAGCGCGTATATCAGCCGCTATAATGTACACTTCCTTTTAAGGTTTGAAGAGCAGTCCTGGGTCCATGCTTTCAAAACTCGCTAAGTGAACGTAAGTACTTACGCTCTATTTTCTTGTCTATGATTGGTGGATTTTGCTTGAAAGGCCGTCGACGATTGGCTGATGAACTTACGATCTCTTAACTTTTTTTGAGTATGGGCCCTGGGCAGCTTGCAAGCTCGGTAAGAGTCGACTCGGCCAACCCTCCCCATACTCTCAGGAAACTATAAGGTCGGGAAAAAATTCTGACCAGGACTTTTACTTTCAAAAAAGTTCAGAGATCATAAGTTCATCAGCCAATCATTGACGGCCTTTCAAGCAAAATCCACCAATCATACACAAGAAAATAGAGCTTAAGTACTTACGTTCACTTAGCGAACTTTGAACGTATTATCCAGTCCCTGAAGCTGTTTTCGATCGATTGACAAAGCAGACCCAGAATAACTTGGCATCGAGTGTAGCTAGGCCATGGTTGAACTAGTATAAGGTTGACTCATGAGAAGCTCATTTTTGCGGTGTAGTTCGTCGTTCGCCTGTAACGTCACTGATCTCAGTGACGTCACAGGCATTAACCAATCACCGAAATGCGTTCAAACCAGTCAACCAATCCGTCATGGGAATGACGTGTTTGTTTACGTTTCTCGATCTCAGTGACGTAACAAGAAAGCTGAACTGAAAGACGGAACTTCTCGTGGGTCAACCTTATATAGTTCAACCATGCCCTAGGCGGTCCCAAAATTTTGTTTGGGTCATCCGACCCCACGCACCCCCCCCAATGAAAATTTACGGACGCCCCAGCTTCTGAGTACCAGAAGCTGGGGCGACTCTAAATTTTGCTAGGGCCCTCACCTCGCTCGGTCTGGTCCAGCTCGAAGTAATGCACCACCTCCAGTTGGTCCTCGGGCCGGAAGCGGACCCCTTTCTTGGTGCCCCCCGGGGGCCGCACCAGCACCAGGGCGCTCTACACATAACACATGTGTTAGTATACAGTGCACTATACAGTGCTTGAACTATACAGCCAACGTGCTATACGATTATCATGCTAGACAGCGTTGTATCTATACAGCCTGTGTGTAGTGCTAAGGTGGCCTGGGACTGCTATGTCCAAAAGACAAACTAGGCATACAGCCTGTGTGCTTTTGTATTAGCAACCATATACAAGAGGTATTAACGACACCAATACTTTTTACATTACTCGTTACGGTGTTACAATATTCTATATTAATAACAATGAATGACATATTATTATTCATTATAATAATATACAAAATATATATTAATATTCGTCATAATAGTATAAAAACAATGAAGTAATAACATTATTTATAATACAATAATAATGGCGCTGGACTATTAATAGTATTTATGATATATAATAACAATGAAATGTTAATATTCATTATAACATATAATAATATAGCTGACCTTGACCCCGGCAGGCAGGTCGCTCGTGATGACCTCGACCTTCTCGAACTCCTCGGGGGACGCGCCCCCGCTGATGTCCATGTCTGGGGGAGAGGGGGGTTTAANGCCCCCAGCTCGTCCAGCGCGTCGCGGTAGAACTGAAATAAACAAATATTATTAAAATTATTACTATATTATATTAATTATAAAATTATCATTATATTATATTATTATTAGTGAAATAATGTCAATGAATCTTTAAATATATAAACACGTATAAATTCAAACAATATTTAAATACTAAAATGATTATCATATTATATTGTTATTAAAATAAACTTAATGAGTCTTTATACATATAAACATATATAAATTAAAACAATCTTTACACATATAATTAGTAATTTTATTGGTACTTTACCATTGGTAAAGTACCAATATAATAAAGCACCATTGGTAGAGTACCAATATAATAAAGCACCATTGGTAGAGTACCAATATAATAAAGTACCATTGGTAAAGTACCAATATAATAAAGTACCATTGGTAAAGTACCAATATAATAAAGTACCATTGGTAAAGTACCAATATTTTGGTACCAACCAAAATGTACTTACGTTCAACGCGGGCCGTGGCAGCGGAGCGTCACTAGTGGCACTTTCCTCAGTGCCACTAGTGGCAGTGGCACCAGCTGAGCCACCAGCACTAGTGCCACTAGTGGCAATGGCACCAGACGTTGCAGTGGCAGTAGTAGAAGTGACACCAGCAGTACTAGTGGAAGTGGCAGTAGTGGCAGCAGTACTAGTGGCACTAGTGGCAGGAGGCAGGGGTTCAGCGTCACTGTCACTAGGGCGGCGGGGTCGTGGGGGTCGTGAGGTGGGGGGTTTGGGGGTTCGCTTGGGGTCGAGTTTGGGGGACACGGCGTCCAGGGCGGCCATGAACCCCCCGTCGTCTGACAGCCCCGCTGGGGGAGACAAATATTATATATTATTATATATATTTTTATTTATATGTTATATACATAATTTTATTACTACGTATATGTTTTATACATATATTTTATACTTTTTATATATTTTATAAATACATATATTTTTTATGTATATCAAAATATTATAATATATTTTATATATTAAAATATATAATTTTTATTTGTAATAAATGTTATAAATAAAATGTTTTTTTTTATATATTATACACATTTTATATTTTTTTACAGATGTCATACATATATTTTATACATGGTCTACACAGTATACACACCAAAACACACCTAACACAAAAACACATTCACACCGAAAAGAAAGACACACACACACGCTTGCGTTCTATGTATTGTGTAGCTCTGTATGTATATGTGTGGCTCTGTATTTCGTATATTTCGAATTTTCGTATTAATTTTCGTATTAAGTTCCACGCTGATCCTGAGATGCTGTTATATGTGTATAAATTTGACTTCAATTATATATATTATATATAACATTTATTTATGTTTAATATAAATGATTACATATTATAATGTTTATTATATATAATATTTAATTATCCATACTTTAAGATTTCTCTTTAATTGTCAATATCTGCACTTTCTGATCAACAGTTATGATTACATAAAATCAACAAAGTTAATATAATGAAGAGACGTAAGTTTATAATGCCATTCAATAGAGACCGTACAAACTATGAAGACGAAGACACGCAACAAACTAAGATGAGAACTTCTGGGAATGGAGGCGCAGCCATGGAGGTCTAACGCTGAATAAATATGGTTTTTCCAGCATGGACAAAGCATAATCCACTAATGCACAATATACAATATTGTGCTATATTGTATATTGTGCAATATACAATATTGTATATTCTGCAATATACCTACAATATTGTGCAATATTGTATATTGTTCACTTTGTATACATTGTGCATATTGTGTAATATTGTATATTGCGCATTGAATATTGTGCAATACAATATAATGCACAACGTAAATAAGTTATTGAGGCACGACATAGGATCCTATTTATCCTACCAAAGTGTTACGTGGTTCACCGGTCAAGTATGTGCTAGATCGAGATTTGAATCCATTAATGAAATAAACTACAGCAGTGGGAGAATAAGTCTTGTTAAGTAAGGCAGTATGCCTTCATAGAACAATATTTAGGCGAGACCAGCACCGATTTTGGCCGGGTTTAGCCGGCAATAACCGGCCAGCTATCTCAAAAACAGCGCTGCTTCATTGCTGATTTGGAAACTCTAACAGCGCCGCGGCAGGGCCGGAAAGCGGCGCTGTTACGGCGCTGCCGCATCCCTAACAAAATTTATGGACGCGGCAGCTTCTGATTTGGATTACAAGAAGCTGGGGCGACTCTAAATTTTGTTAGGGTTGGGACGCGCGGCAGGGAGCCCAACAGAGCCGGTATGCCGGCCGTAGATTTATGTCAGGGGGGGTTTTGAGATAGGAAAGAGTGGGGAACTTGCATGGTGTCAAAGCAGAGATTTTTTTTTTACTCTTTCTGAATATAATTTTCGAGTCCTAAAAAGTAGACCAGTAAAGTATCATGGTTACCAGTGTTATCATACATAAGAAATTGGTTTAAATCTCAAATAGATAGGGAAATTAAAAATGAATTGATTACAAAAAATCTGTAGCTTGTCACTAAGTGGGGAAGACTTGAAGTAGGTGAGGGATATCCGTTCTTTATCTAGTTCACGTGACAATATGCTATTTGAGGACAATGGTTGGTGCCAGTAATAATTACTCAAATATTATATTAATTATTAAAATTTAAATAGAATTATTCTCATGCTTCAAGAATCGACTATGAGTTAAATAGCTAAGAAATTGATGCAAAAATACGAATATTTTTATTTACAACGACCCCACTGTAAACTTTATCATAGAGCTTATATTCAAAACATTTTCATGCGACTGCATTGAGTGAGAGTGATGAGTGAGTGCACATGACAAGAGTGATGGCAGCACATACAACTAGAGTGATGGCAGCACATGGCAAGAGTGATGGCACATGACAAGAGTGATGACAGCACATGACAAGAGTGAAGGCAGCACATGACACGAGTGATGGCAGCACATGACACGAGTGATGGCAGCACATGACAAGAGTGATGGCACATGACAAGAGTGATGGCAGCACATGACACGAGTGATGGCAGCACATGACACGAGTGATGGCAGCATACAACAAGAGTGATGGCAGCACATGGCAAGAGTGATAGCAGCACATACAACAAGAGTGATGGCAGCACATGGCAAGAGTGATGGCACATGACAAGAGTGATGGCAGCACATGACACGAGTGATGGCAGCACATGACACGAGTGATGGCAGCATACAACAAGAGTGATGGCAGCACATGGCAAGAGTGATAGCAGCACATACAACAAGAGTGATGGCAGCACATGACAAGAGTGATAGCAGCACATACAACAAGAGTGATGGCAGCACATGGCAAGAGTGATGGCACATGACTAGAGTGATGGCAGCACACACAACTAGAGTGATGGCAGCACATACAACAAGAGTGAAGGCAGCACATGACAAGAGTGATAGCAGCACATGACAACAAGAGTGATGGCAGTACACATACAACAAGAGTGAGGCAGCACATACAACAAGAGTGAAAGCAGCACATGACAAGAGTGATGGCAGCACATACAACAAGAGTGATGGCAGCACATGGCAAGAGTGATGGCACATGACAAGAGTGATGGCAGCACATGACACGAGTGATGGCAGCACATGACACGAGTGATGGCAGCATACAACAAGAGTGATGGCAGCACATGGCAAGAGTGATAGCAGCACATACAACAAGAGTGATGGCAGCACATGACAAGAGTGATAGCAGCACATACAACAAGAGTGATGGCAGCACATGGCAAGAGTGATGGCACATGACTAGAGTGATGGCAGCACACACAACTAGAGTGATGGCAGCACATACAACAAGAGTGAAGGCAGCACATGACAAGAGTGATAGCAGCACATGACAACAAGAGTGATGGCAGTACACATACAACAAGAGTGATGCAGCACATACAACAAGAGTGAAAGCAGCACATGACAAGAGTGATGGCAGCACATGACAACTAGAGTGATGGCAGCACATACAACAAGAGTGATGGCAGCACATGACAAGAGTGATAACAGCACATGACAACAAGAGTGATAGCAGTACACATACAACAAGAGTGATGCAGCACATACAACAAGAGTGAAAGCAGCACATGACAAGAGTGATGGCAGCACATTCAAGGGACGCGCGTATCTACGACGTATCTAATTTAAGGGACGCACGTATCTACGTCGCGCGTATCTGTGATAAGAAGATAGCAACAGTTCAAGCGTATCTAGGATACGCATATTTAATTATGAATGTTAACTCTATACAATGATGTGTATTGTGTAATATGTATGAAGGGATAATGAAAGGCGCTGTGTGAACAAACAGGCTTTATTGTGACTGAAAATACAGCTTCCACACAGAGATACACGGAATATACAGCGAGTATCACGAATACAAGATTCATGATACTATCACAAGTTTCATTAAGTAGAAAGTTTGCAATATTATGCACTAATTAAAAGGTTTTGCACTACTTAGGCAAGATTTGCTTTAATAAGAAAGTACAGTACTGCTTAAGGAAAGTTGCCACCAATAGGAAAGTTAATATAAATAATAAGAATAAGTTGTACTAATCAGAAAGTTTTGCACTAATCAGAGAGTTTATCACTAATCGGAAAGTTTTGTACTAATCAGAAAGTTTAGGACTAATCAGAAAGTTTTCACTAATCAAAAAGTTTTGTACTAATCAGAAAGTTTTGCATTATTCAGAAAGTTTTGTACTAATCGGAAAGTTTTACACTTAACAGAAAGTTTAGCACTAATCAAAAAGTTTTACACTACTCAGAAAGTTTAGCACTAATCGGAAAATTTTGCACTAATCAGAAAGTTTTGAAATAATCAGAAAGTTTTGCACTAATCAGAAAGTTCTGAATTAATCTGAAAGTTCTGCACTAATCAGAAAGTTTTGAACTAATGAGAAAGTTTAGCATCAGAAAGTTTTGTACTAATCAGAAAGTTTTGTACTAATCGGATAGTTTTCTACTAATCAGAAAGTTTTGTAGTAATCAGAAAGTATTCTACGAATCAGAAAATTTTGTACTAATAAGAAAGTTTCTGTACTAATCAAAAAGTTTTCTACTAATCAGAGAGTTTTGTACTAATCAGAAATTTTGGTTTATTGATCACCGAGAATTTCTCACACAAGTTGACACCAAATAAAATCTGTGTATCAATTGAGAAGTTATTGTTCTACTATTGAACAAAGAAGTTATTGTTTGTTCTATTGAATAAAGTTTGATTGTGGCGGCGGAAATTCAACGTAAAATAATTGTCATAATACGAGAAAACATTCAAACAACTCAATAATTCCTGGACTAATCAAGACAATTTGGCACCAATTAGAGAACTTTTGGCCTAATGAGGGAAATTTTTGCCTAATGAGAAATTTTGGCCTAATTAGAGGACTTCTGACCCAATTAGAGATTTTTTGACCAATTAGATAACTTTTGGCCTAACTAGAGCACTTCTGACCCAATTAGAATATTTTTGGCCTAATTAGAGAACTTTTGACCTAATTAGAGAACTTTTGACCCAATTAGAGAATTTTTGACCTAATTAGATAAGTTTTGGCCTAATTAGGGAACTTTTGGCCTAATTAGGGATCTTTTGACCTAATTAGGGAACTTTTGACCTAATTAGGGAACTTTTGCCCGAATTAGAGAAGTTTTGACCTAATTTGAGAACTTTTGGTCTAATTAGAGAACTTTTGGCCCAATTAGAGAACTTTTGACCTAATTTGAGAACTTTTGGCCAAATTAGAGAACTTTTGACCTAATTTGAGAACTTTTGGCCAAATTAGAGAACTTTTGGCCTAATTAGAGCATTTTTGACCTAATTAGAGAACTTTTGGCCTAATTAGAGAACTATTGGCCTAATTAGAGAACTTTTGGCCTAAATAAGTAATTTTTTCACCTAATTTGAAAACTTTTGACCTATTTAGAGAACTTTTGGCTTAATTAGAGAATTTTTACCCCTAATTAGAGAATATTCGAGCAAGGTTACAAAGTTAGCACAACTTGAGGCACTTTTGCCCCAATTGATTATTCTTTGTATCATTATGAACGATGTGTGATAAATGAGAAATTATTGAACTTGTAAAATAATAAATTATTTACTTGAATTTTAATATGTCTGCATAATCATAAAATATTTGGCAAGATACCAAGAAAGTTTAGCATCACGTTTGAACTCGTAACATTTACAACTTATCAAGTTCTATCCACGGGTGAAATTGTATCAAAGTTGACTCAAGTTTGAATTATATGAATAAGTTTAGTCGTAACCTAAACGCTTAGCTTATGAGATGGTCTAATGAATCTATAACCTAAATATTTCGCCTTTATTTTCAAGCTGCGCAATGACTATAGATGTTTATATGTCGTCTTTAAAAGGTCGTTAATTGACTATATATGACGCTCATTTATCGAATTTTACAAATATTTCGCCTTTATTTTCAGGCCGCGCTATGAAAAGATGGACATATATGTTGTCTTTCAAAGACCGTTAATTGACTATGTATGAATCTATTTTATCGAATTGTACAAACACTTCGCCTTTATTGTATGCTATGACTAGATGTTTATATGTGTCGTCTTTCAAAGACCGTCAATTGACTATATATGACGCTCATATTTATCGAATTTTAAAAATATTTCGCCTTTATTTTGAGGCTGTGCAATGAATATAAGGACATATATGTCGCTTTTCTGACGCCGTTTATTGACTACATATGAAGCTCATTTTTCTAATTTTAAAGATATTTCGCCTTTATTTTGAGGCTGCGCTACAACTAAATGGGCATATATGTCATCTTTTATATTAGTTTCAATAAATACATTTTAGTATTTATTGGTTTAAATACATTTCAGTATGGAATGTATTACTAAATAAATACACTTCAATGTGTTATTCGTCGCTAAAGGGTATACACTTACCTGGACAGCCAGCGTAGGGAGGGGGATGCGCTGCAAAGGACGCTCCAGGATCAACTCTAGGACAGCAGGATTTATGTTTAGGATTTCTAAATCCTCAAAGTGAAAGACACCAGGAGTTACGAGTGGTTTTAACACACCACCNCCACTGCGCTAGTGGCTGCTACCACTGAGCTACAAGTACCTCACCTGATACGTGGTCCCCAGCAGCAGGATGGTAGTCTAGATGGTCACCGGGGGCGGGCAGATGGTGCTGCCAGGTGGTTACAATGTGGTACCCACATTGGGTTGTGTGGTGAAAATGTGTGGCAATCACACACAATTGTGCTGCAAACAAAATAAACACACACACGCCATTTGTGTGAAGTGTGTGGCGATTCAACATAACACACACACCCCATTTGTGTGCATCGATTCAGGACTACACAAACACTACGACCCCAAACACTACGACCCCAAACACACATGCCCTATTTGTACGCATTCATACAAGACACAACAAAGAACACACAACACAGCAAGCGAGAAACTTACGTCGCTTGGGAATACACATGCGCACTATACATATGTGCATCCATACAAGACACAAGACACAGCACACAACACACAGTACACAACACACAGTACACAACTCACGTCGCTTGGGAGAGATGAGCTTGGCGCCCCCCGGCCTGTCCCCGCTGAGGGGGGTGGACGAGATGGTGGTCTTAAGGCGCTTGTCCGCCCCGATGGTCGGCAGGTCCAGAGGTCTCTTGGCCGCCGGCCTGTCCGCCTCCGGCTTGCGGGGCACGCCAGTGGTGGACTGTCCTCCGTAGGGGGGCCTCGAGGCTGGAGGTGCGGACGGCCCGCTGGTGAGGGCTGAGGTTCTCTTGGGTTCGAGGACCCCGATGCTCCTGAAGGAGGAGGTCTTCACCTTGACCGGGGGTCGCTTGATTTGGCTCTCGCCGGGGTCTGCGGACCCCAGAGCGTCCAGGAAACTGGGAGGACGTTTGGGGATTTTGGCCATGCCGTCCGTGCTGAGGGGTTTTACCTTCTCCAGGGTGGATCTGTCCTTTTCTGACTGGTCTTTGTCCTTGTCCTTCCTCTCCTTGCGTTCCTTCTCTTTTCTTCTCTCCCGTTCTCTTTCCTTCTCCCTGTCCCTTTCTTTAGAGGTGTTGCTGTCCACACTCGATCTGCGGTCTTTATCGAAGGTTTTCCTGTCTTTGTCTTTCGCGCGTTTGTCGGAATCGATCCGTATTTTGTCTTGTTTATTCCTGTCTCTATCATCTACTCTTCCTCGCTCTTTGTCTCTATCTTTATCATCTATTCTAATTTTCTCCCTCTCTTTATCATCTATTCTAGTTTTCTCCCTCTCTTTATCATCTGTTTTCACCCTCTCCCTGTCCTTATCCTTGCTACTCTTCTTACCCCCGCCACTACTGCTGCTGCTGCTATGTCGACTTCTACCCTCATCTCCTACAGTAGCTTTGGACGCCCCCTTCTTCTCACTGGAGATGTCTTTCTCGATGCCCTCGGATTTCTCCACGCGGAATTTCTTGAGTTTAATTCCCTGCTTAGTGTCTGGCAAGGGAGGCTCACTCACGCCCGGGGATAACGAGCCATCCAGCATGATAATTTTGGTGGGCACATAAGGCAAGGGACCTGCGCCGTTCATCACAGGTTTTTTAATATCTAATGATGGTTCCTTGAGCTTCGTCGATGCATGGTCGAGGCTCGGTAACGAATCAGTGGAGTCGTCATCGTCGCTGTCGATGATGATGGCACGTACCCGCTTCTTGGACTTCTTGGTCACGTCCCCTGATGGCACGTCTTGGGAGTTTCGACTGCCCTGAGAACCCAACGGTTTCTTGTTATTCCATTCTTCTACCTCAAAATCTTCGTCGCTGTCACCACCCTTCTTCTTCTTTTTCTTGTCCTCGTCGTCTTCATCTTCCTTATCGTCGTCTTCGGAGTCCACGAACTCTTTGGACATCACTCTCGGGGTTCCATCCTCATTCTTCCCCTTCTTCGAGGACGCATGCAGGATCACTTGACTGCCGCTCTTGATTGTGATTTTAATTCCCTTCTGCGGGGAATCCGATCTCTCGGACTCCTCTGAGTCTTGGACCAGGCCCCCTGGGGTCACCCGAGGGCCCTTCTTGCGTGGCCCCCTCTTGCCAAGTACACTGTTGGGCCTTCCAACTCCCGCGATGTGTTCGATGTAGCCCCGAGGGACAGGAGATATCACAAGCACTGGGTTCGAGGGCCTCACGACTAGGGTACTCTCGGTGGAGGTGGCACACGTGGGCGATGACTTCGACTTGAATCTTTTGGCAGCAGCGAACTTGCTTCTGTTTTTTAGTTTTGGTTTCTTGGTGGGCAGATATTTTGGCAAGATGGACTCCTGCCACATGGCGCCCAAGTCCTCAGCTTCGTACGTCTCCTCCGAGTAGACGGGAGCGTTCTGGTCTTCTGGCTGCTTCTTCGGAAATGAAGCCAAGTTTCCGTCGAGATTCACCAAATAATTCTTGCTTTCCTCAGATTTAATAGAAGAATTTGTACTCCCATCAGCAATTAACGAGGAATTTGTACTCTCTTCAGATTTCATCGATGAATTCGTATTGCCCGTGAAATTTACTGAAGACGCCGGACTTCCCTCGGTTTTATTTGAAATACAAAAAATATTTTTGTCGTTTCTTAGGGCATCGTTGGTGTGGTTGAGAGGGGCCAGATGGGATGAGGGGTTGTGCTGAGGGTTCGTTGAGTGGAAGGATAGGGGGTTGTGTTGGAGGTTCGTTGAGTGGGAGGATGCGGGGTTGTGCTGAGGGTTCGTTGAGTGGGAGGATGCGGGGCTGTGTTGGGGGTTCGTTGAGTGGGATGATGAGGGGTTGTGTGGGAGGTTCGTTGAGTGGGAAGAGGGGGTGACCACTTGGTCAGCATGAGAGGAAGCTTCTAATGATGTCGCCGCGGTCAGCATGCGGGTCCAGGTCAGCACGAGACGCCGCGCTGCCTCGCTCACGCCTACGCTCCAAAACCAACAGAAATTCAAAAGATGTGTATAAGAGACAGCAAGTAGATTGAACGAAACTACAGGTAGATGTGCAAGTAGATTGAACGAAACTACAGGTAGATGTGCAAGTAGATTGAACGAAACTACAGGTAGATGTGCAAGTAGATTGAACGAAACTACAGGTAGATGTGCAAGTAGATTGAACGAAACTACAGGTAGATGTGCAAGTAGATTGAACGAAACTACAGGTAGATGTGCAAGTAGATTGAACGAAACTACAGGTAGATGTGCAAGTAGATTGAACGAAACTACAGGTAGATGTGCAAGTAGATTGAACGAAACTACAGGTAGATGTGCAAGTAGATTGAACGAAACTACAGGTAGATGTGCAAGTAGATTGAACGAAACTACAGGTAGATGTGCAAGTAGATTGAACGAAACTACAGGTAGATGTGCAAGTAGATTGAACGAAACTACAGGTAGATGTGCAAGTAGATTGAACGAAACTACAGGTAGATGTGCAAGTAGATTGAACGAAACTACAGGTAGATGTGCAAGTAGATTGAACGAAACTACAGGTAGATGTGCAAGTAGATTAAACGAAACTACAGGTAGATGTGCAAGTAGATTGAACGAAGCTACAGGTAGATGTGCAAGTAGATTGAACGGAACTACAGGTAGATGTGCAAGTAGATTGAACGAAACTACAGGTAGATGTGCAAGTAGATTGAACGAAACTACAGGTAGATGTGCAAGTAGATTGAACGAAACTACAGGTAGATGTGCAAGTAGATTGAACGAAACTACAGGTAGATGTGCAAGTAGATTGAACGAAACTACAGGTAGATGTGCAAGTAGATTGAACGAAACTACAGGTAGATGTGCAAGTAGATTGAACGAAACTACAGGTAGATGTNGACGTCATGCCTTACCAAGCCAGCGTCCGTGCGACGTCCTGCCTTACCCTGTCTCTTATACACATCTAGATGTGTATAAGAGACCAATAGAGACCGTACAAACTATGAAGACGAAGACACGGAAAAAACTAAGATGAGAACCTGTGGCAGTGGAGGTGCAGCCATCGATGTCTGACGCTGAATAAATATGGCTTATCGAGCATGGACAGAAGTCTAATCTATTAATGCACAATATTGTGCAATATTGTATATTGAGCATTGAATATTATTGAATATTGTGCAGTACAATATAATGCACAACGTATATAAGTAATTGGGGCATATGACAGAGGATCCAGATTATCCTACTAAAGTGTTACGTGGCTCACCGGTCAAGCGTGGGGGAGATAGTGATCTGAATTAATGAAATAAACTACAGCAACTGATTCCAAAAAAGCTGTAGCTTGTCACTATGTGGGGAAGAGTTGGAAGTTAGGAGAGGAAACTTCGTCCTTTATCTAGTTCACGTGACAAAATGATATTTGGGGTCCATGACCATGGTGCCTGTTATAATTGCTCCGTCATTATTTTAATTATATAGCATAATTCTGATGCTTCAAGAATCGACTAGGAGTTACATAGCTCAGAAACTGATGCAAAAATTAGGAATATCATAAAGCTAGTATCCGAAATATTTTCATACGGAAATGTTGAGTGAGAATGATGAAGAGTGAGTGCACATGACAAGAGTGATGGCACATGACAAGAGTGATGGCACATGACAAGAGTGATGGCACATGACAAGAGTGATGGCACATGACAAGAGTGATTGCACATGACAAGAGTGATGGCAGCACAGGACAAGAGTGATGGCAGCACATGACAAGAGTGATGGCAGCACATGACAAGAGTGATGGCAGCACATGNCTATATATACATACATGCAGTATACATACATGTATGTCTATACATACATGCGTTGTATACATACATATACAACGCATCATCATGCGTTGGCCATATCAGTAATAAATTGCCATCTATTGAGAATCATAATTGGGAATCACAGTCTGTCTCAATTGTGCCTTGGTGTCTTTGGGACCATGAATTAGGCCTGTCTCTTATACACATCTAGATGTGTATAAGAGACAGGGGTTGAATATGTGGAAGGGGTTGAACACGTGGAGGGGTTGAAAATAGGGTTAAGGGTTGATACTGGCTGGGCACTAATTATTGCTTGGCTCTATCAATAGATTATATAAGGCAACCATAGCAAGCTCCACCAAGTGATAATAACAATGAAAAACAAACAATTTATTAAACACACAGAACAGAATAATTGAAGATTAATTCTTCTGAAAGTTAAGACAGACTCAGACAGAATTCTGTTTTAATTTAGAATGAATTAAAATAATTAAACAGAATCTCTCAATAGTCCTATAAGAACACTTCACTTGGTCCCTAGTATTCCACCTGCACAAAATGAGCATGCATATGATAAATGAATAAGTGCATACATAATATTGGATCTAAACATTTTAAACTATATATTAATTTCGTACTTATTTATGAACTGTTCAAGTGACCAGGCTGGAATATATGCAAGACCGTTCCTAGAGTTCCACTCTTAATGAGGGGAACTTAAAACTCTTAAAACTAAAACTTAAATGAAGCTCTCAAAATACATGTATTTTTATACAAATTCATATACCCGGACAACATATTAGCAACTTGTGTTCATACAATACATACTAGGTACTAATTGAATTCACACAATACATACCAGAAACTTGTATTCTAAAAAATTTCAGACAAGTAAAATTTTTTTTATATTAGTAATGGATGTTGCAGAGCTTTTTTATGACCAGTCAGACCTCCAGCTATGGCGAATTATTATATTCATTATCAATATATATATATATATTTATATATATACCTATATATACACCATTAAACAGAGTCCAAGTCACCCTGTCAGTGGTCCCCTCATTATATGGTACATATTTAATAAATTTATTATTATTATATAACAAATTATATAATAATTTAAATGTGCTATCATATAATGAAATATAGTAATGTAATAAATCATTATTTATTAATATCTATTATATTGTAACATTCTTTGCAATTACTGCCATTATCTGCAGGCAGCAACACCAGGTCAGTGAGGTGGGTGGGGGTAGGGGTGACCAGGGTTGCAGAGGCTATATATATTGCAGGTATATCATATATAACTGGTATATGTATAGACTACAAGCAAAGCAATAGGCAGGCTGCATTCATCACAAAATGTGAAGGTTTGCCTCAAGTTAATGCAACAAGGGAAGAAACCTAGAAGTTCTTACAAGTACTGATGATTTCAATTAACTTCTTGTTAGTTTCAGTTTCATAGCCTTCCATGTTTGTAATTACAGGACCATGTTACAGATATAGAAAGATTGATATCGTATATATGAAGCATTGTGCATATATTATATCTCTAGGTTAGTCCATGTATGTATACTGTACTTGACTGGCACTCATGCATGGCATCATTACACTAGTGCAGTTATACAAGTGTGCACAATGAGACAATTGATGCTTAATATGAACTAAAAATAACCTAGTCTAATATTGTTGCAAACTGCTCTTTCAATGTCAAGGTTAGAAAATTGTAACTTAAAACATTGTCAGTCAGATTTTTTAATTAGAATCACAGTGAGTTTACTGCAGCTGTCCATACTCAGGAATATATTATAGTGAAAGCTGCTAATTAACCCACATTTCTGTTGCAAAAAATCAACTTGTTATATATATGAACACTATAGCAGGGTTGATCTCTTCTGGCCTTTGTGAACTTGGTTGTGTATGTCATGCCAGGCAGAAATTTATATGAATTCCTATATAAAGATATACATATGCCAAATTACAGATATATATGTAAAATTTGATTATATATGATATGATAACCTGGTGAATTTTATGCTATTTGCTTTGCTTTTAAATTTCTAATGAAACTATGTAAGTAAAATTGTACCTGTTCATAAGATTATCTTCCTCCTTCAGGCAAATATATAAAAACCTTTTTAGTATAGTAATTCCAAAATATAATATATAAGAGTACTTGAAAGCCAAAATGAAAAATCAGGCTATGGTCACTCATAGGTGAGTCAAACCCACTCAAGCTTATTATGTTTACAATTTGAAATGTGTAAACTATTGCACTGCAATAGAGCATAACTAAAGTAATATGATGAATAGTTGTAGCCTTCAATTAATCTTTTATATAACGCAGCCGTAGTGCTAGAAATATTATTGAGTTCTTTAGGCCAGTCTATTGTCACGATGTGAAATAGAAATATAGCAATATATGTTTTAATAAAAAATATTTTTTACTACTGACACAATCCATTTTAGCCATTTTTTTCATAGTACTGATTTGTTATGAAAAAAATTCATGAATGTGCAAGGTAACTATTATAGGTACCGTATATATGATATGCTTTCATGCAAAGTTTATATATCTATATATACATAAATAAATGATATCACTTTTAACTTGCGCAACAATTGCATGTCTTGAATGCAAAGAAAGGCATTTTTTTTACTTTTTTGAGGTTTTACATTCTACTTACAATTGACTAGCTATCCATGCCTGAAAATTTGTTAACAAATGCACTACAAGCAGAGTTTCATTGGAATGAGAAGAGTTTAATGTTAACACCAGCCAACTGCTGGATGATCACCGGCCGCCTTATAACCGCCCCTTGCCTTGTGAACAATATTCTTGAGGCAAGGGGCGTGTCAGCCTCAAACATGTTACTGAAGTGATTGGGGGATCAGGGGCTGGGGATGACAAACTAACATGTGAGCTTAGATTTAACAGCAAGGTTAAGGTTACATTTATTAACTAATTAGATTAATTAATTAGATTAATCTAATTAATCATATTATTTAGATTAATTAATTAATTAGATTAATTAGAATAATCAGACTAATTAATTAATTAGGTTAATCTAATTAATCCTATCAATTAGATTAATTAATTTATATCTAAGGCAAGGTTTAACTAACACAAGGTCTCAGGGATCTGGGTCCTTGCAGCTCTATGATGCAGTCTCAATACAATGAAG